ACCGCGCAAACCACTAACGATCCGCGCGAATAAACTGACGTGCTGCGATCGTTGTCGAGAATAAGGACCTATCCGAAGCGGCGGCGACGACGATCAATCTCTTCCCGATGAACCCACCGATAACCGGGTCGACTCTCTCTCTCTCGAGAAAACATCACCGTCCAATCACCGTTATCACATCGAAACGATTGCCGACACGGAGGCCGATATCGCGGAAAGAGCTTCCCTATCGCGCCGAACGAAAGTGGAAATTGTCAGATCCGTTTTCGAGGGTGGTCGTGACGCACTGACGATAAAAGTCGCTCACCCCTAAAAACGAGTTTCTTGAAGCGGGACGATACATACATTCGCGACAATGTACGACGATCCTTACGAAGAACTTACGCAGGTATCGTCGATGAAGTCACTAATACCGCGCACGAGCGAGGCACGCCGGAAAGAGGAACCGCGCACGCCGAATCGAGCGCGACGGGGACTCACCGGGGACCGCGTTGTCCCGTGAGGAAGAGGCACCGGTGCGTCCGAAGCGCGCAAGGAGCTTTCGAGCGACACCTGTGCCGACTCGAGGTCGGGTCGGGTAGGAAAAGCGAGCCGGCGGCGCGTGGGAAAAAGCGATGTGCACACGATGCCGGGTGGTATATCGGAGAGAGAGAGAAAGAGCGAGGGGTTGGAAAGGGAGAGGGGAAGGGAAAGGAGAGGAAGCGGGAGAAAGGAAGGAACGAGAGAGAGGAAGAGAGAGACAGAGAACGGAGCCACCACGAAAATCGTGTGGTGGCGTGCCAGCCGATGGTCCCGGACCAACCCGATCGATATACCCTTTTTTCGAGAGTGCCTTCTCTCTCTCTCTGTCTATCTGTCTTTCTCTTTCCCTCCGCTCGCTCTCTCTTCTTTCTCTCTTGGCCACTCTCCATCTCTCTTTCATCTGTTTTACTTGATCTCTCGCTCACGCTTGCGAACTTCGCCTCACCCTCGGGACGAGAGAGAGTCCAACGACCTGTCTGCCTGCCTGCCTGCCTGCCTGCCGGCCTGCCGGCCTACCTGTCTGCCTGCCCGCCTGCCCGTTTCTCCTCGAGAAAGACGTGCGACCTGGCACCGCTGAAGGGAAAACGCGAAGGGAGACACAAGACGCGGATAAATCGCGACGCGTTAAGAACGTCCCTCTCTCGCGGGCGCGTAAACGTACCTGACGAGAGCGGGAGCACGAGAGCGGGAGACGCGAGAGAGCGGTGTGTCCCGGCAAGCGGCTCTTCTCTCCCCTTTCCTCACACACTCAATCCGCTCTCCTCTCCGGCTATTTTTCTCCTCGCTCCTTCTCCCGCGTCGGCGAAAGGAGGCAGGAGGAATCTTCCGGTTGCAGCTTTCTCACCTCACCGTATAACGCCACGCGGGAATCAATACGCGCGCCTGCCTCGAGCCTTTTTCCCTCTCTCTCTCTCTCTCTTCCTCGTTCTCTTCCTTTCTCTCTCACTCACTCTCGTTCACTCCCTCGCTCGCTCACTCGCTCGCTCTCGCCCCCTATCGCTCGCGCACTAACCACCCTCCTCCGCGTTCTGTTCTTCCCTTTCGCGCTCGCTCGCTCCCTCCCACCCCTCTCGCTCACTCGTTCACTCGCGCTCCCTCTTTCCCGCACGTTCTCTCTGTCACCCACCCTCCGGCTGGGCCACCCTCGCCGTCCGTCCGCGATGCCTTCGCCTCTCCTCTCTTCCTCGCGCGCGAGCGCACCCTCCGTGTGTTCGTGTACGCCACTCCGGCGTACGTACGCTGAAGTGCGGCGCCCCTTCACTTCCCCGCTACCCCCTAGACACTCGGACGGTGCACCGTGTATGTCCGTCCTTGTCCTTTCTTTTTTCTCTCTCTCTGTCTCCTCGCCACGAGCCTCGAACGGGGCTATTCCTCCTCGTGGAGGGTCGGCGAACGAAATAGCACCTCGACGACGATGACAACAGCGTCGGCGACGGTGACGGCGACGGCGACGGCGACGGCGGCGGCGGCGGCGTTGACACGAGGATTATACGAGCTCGCTCGAGTACGCACGCACGCACGCTCGCACGCACGCTCGCACGCATGCACGCTCGCACGGCGCGACGACGCGGACGAGGGTGAGAATGCGTGGGGCGCGTGAGGCGCTTCGCGCGGGAATTGCGAGCCGCCCCTGCGTCAGAGAACTGAGGACTACCGGCTCGCGGGGTGCAACGCGCCCCGCCGCATAGCCACGACTATACGCTCGGCCGCCGTCGCGCGGACATGTTGAGGGCTGCGAATACGCACGCAAGCGCGCAGGCGAGCGAACGTACGAGCGAGGGTGGCGACGGCGACGACTACCACCGCCGTAGTCTTCGTCGTCGTCGTCGCCGCCGCCGCCGCCGCCGCCGCCGCCGCCGCCGCCGCCGCCGCCGCCGCCGTCGTCGTCATCGTCGTCGTCGTCGCGCGCAGTAGCGTATATAGATGCAAGAGCGGCGAGACACGCCGCCGGTCTTCTTCCCTTCGCCGGCCGGACCTTCGATCGCGAATTGTGCCAAAAACCCTATCGATCTCGCCCGTCGCAGAGGAGAATTTCGTGGGATTTTCTATGTTAGCGAAAACTATAAATCTGTAGAACAAATTTAGTGAGATATTTCCGTAATCCACTTTTTATCGTAATATTAAGCATCAAGAGATTTCCTTTCTATGTAAGGAAAAGATGAAATAAATCGTCGTTTACAGACTGAATTAGTTCAGAGATTAAATTGCTTCATTGTTACGGAAATAAATTTTTTCTTTTCTATATTTTATGTTCTCCTTTGCTGCAAAAATTTGGTAATAATATTACCTCGATGTAGGGCAACTTAAAATCTTCGTCGGACTCTGAAGAAAACGGCGTCGATTATTGCATACTGATTACCGGGAACATCTTAAGAGGTCGTCCACTACTAAGGCGGATGCTTAAAGAAACTTTAAAGGCTGCTGAATAGACTCCCGATGTGGGGATGTTCCTGGTAAGTTTTCACCATAACTGACGTGTCTTCGAGAGAGAAGGAGAGAAGCCAGCGCTTAAAATTCAAACTTCCAAGGAAGTTACATGACGTAAAATATTACACTCCCGAAAATTACGTCTCCTGCAGAAAACAATACGGGCGATGGGAGCTGAAAGTGGGCCAGTTCCACAATTTATATCGATGTATGCTCCCTTAAAATAGTCTGCTTGTCCTTCCTCGCGTGTGGAAGTCATGAAAACACTTGCATATTTTATTTAGCGAAGTGCCTCATTATAATTTTGTTTCGACAATGTCAATGTACCTGAGAGATTACATTAATCGTAACGTAGATATATAAAATACAAACACAAAATCACGCGTTTTAGACGCGCAAATAATATACGTATCATTACAAGTTTTATGTAGATTTCATCCGGTGAGAGCAAGAGCGAAGCCGAGCACGCGAGAGAAGTTCGTTTCGTCGCTCGAAGAGAGATCGATGACACTTACTTACGTTTCAGGGGGTATATCAGTTTCACAGCAAAACATTACGAAACTTGAACCGCGCGGGGCGGGTAGACATGCTAATCAAGCTGACAAGAGTGTTGTGTGCACATTCTCGCGGAACGGGACCGACGAATGTCGTACGCTTGGCTGCTTTCCCTCGCGGGTTTTCCCGACGCAATCAATTCGGGCGAGCGAGATTTTTTTTCGATCACACGCTACAGCATGCCGCGATTGTTGCGTTGCGATTAATTAATTACCTGCTTAGGTTTATAAAACGTTTCATTGAAATTTCCGTCGATGCGTCGATATCGTACTATTATCGCGGTCGTTCGACAATCAAAATAATTTCGACGACACTTCAGAGTGTACGGTGGATAATTGTACATTCAATAAATATAGAGAGGGCAATAATGATCATTTTGTGCGAATGACCGGCTTAATTCGCGGGATTATTAAGCTGTTTATTTGAATGCACGAGGTGCATCGATGAGATTCGTTTTCGCGACTCATTACACCTTGCTAAATCATTTATCACCGCATATTAATGGGGAAGCTAAATAATTTTTTTGTTATTGCGAGAATTCACTCTATTTTTTTAACGCGGTCTTTTTTTCTCTATTATCACGAAATAATATTATTGTTTCAACTGTCTCCCATTATTAAAAGATAATTTATATGCGTATAAAAACGATTAAATTTGCCAATCATACAGTATTTTTATAATAATTATATAATAATGTGCTTCTTGACGTTACATGGAAAAGATATCTCATTTAGTTTGCGTTTTCTCGTTGAAGGAGTTGAGTGACTTGTGAAGTGACTGACGATTCGAGAGATCTAGACTTAAGTCGGTGGCTTGATCCTCCTCTCTTCTCTCTCTCTCTCTCTCTCTCTCTCTCTCTTCCTCATTTCTTCTGCTTTTCTTGTCGTTGTCGGGCCTAAATGTCCTACTTCCGGTTCGACTATTCCAACCTGGGATCGATTGGGTCGACCACCTCGTGTCAAAAACACTCGGCACGAAAGACGTCACGTCGATTCTTTTGTCGAGGAAGCGGCAGTCCGACTGTCAGCTCATAAATTTTACGACGAGGCGTAATAGCGGCCGGCCGCGGATTAAATTTTCGCGACGGCCGACGATGGATTATAAAACCTATCGAACACTTGCAACACATCCATCACGCAGCAAAAACGAGACACGAGACATTAGAGATCGCGAATTTTAATCTAGTAATGGACCGCTATAATTTGATAATTATTGTATAGCATTGTGTATCGTTACGCGAGTGTATATTGCATATATCTATCATTAATATAAAGTACTGATTTGAATACGATAACCACGCACAAAGCTATTGAATACATCGCCTTTCCTATGAATTAATGGCTCAATATTTTTTTTATTTTTTAATACTATTTTATTTTGTGTCATACATCAATGATATTTTTTATTGTCATTTTGTGTAGACTTCATCGTATTTAAAAAATATACGTTTTAGTTAGCACGTCGAAGATAATTATAATAATAAATCTGACACTCGATTAACATCGATAAAAATGAATTATATTTTCATACATCTTATTTTGTGCGATAAAATAGCTGCTAAACTTAATTACCTGATTATCTGCGATATTAATCATTAGATTAATACTTTATTTGTTATACAATGAGTAATATCAAACATCGCATTAATTGGAATCCAATTGTCTGTTGAATAGTAATTAAATTTCAGTTTTTTTTTTCAGCGAACGTACAATAAGATTACTTTATCAATATACATTTTTTTCATCGTTTGAACCTCATTTATTTTCTTCCCTCTTGGAGTTTGCTTTAAATTAACAATCTTATTGCAGTATTAATTACGCTGATTTATTTGCGTATTAATATAACCTTGTTTTCTCAACTTTATTATTCGACTTTATTGCGTGCGTGAATTTAGCTTTTAACGACGAGATTCAAGAGAAAAGTAATTGCCGGTCATAAAATAACTGAGTAACTAATTATCTAAGAACACCGATAATTGCTTAAAAGGATAATAACTGTGCAATTTATCTCTGGTGTACGGCATTGCGACAATTGAATGAATGGCGTTCATGTTCGTTTTTTTTTATACCTCGCACGTTAAAGGTTACGGTGGTTGACATGCAAACCGCATTCACTTACATCGCGATTAAGGCACGCGTATAGCTCGCAATAACGCATCGGGATTTCTCCAAATCGCCACGCGAAGGTGACGCTGCGCTGACCACGTTAAATTCTTTCGCGGTCAATCAGAGAACTTTCGGAAGTCGCGCTACAAATAATCAAGATTTAGTTTTACTCAGATTTATCACATTTCTTTTTATTTAAGTTTAAGCGGTTCTCTTCGAAACGCGCGCTGTTTTGCGACGACCTCGATATCTATCTGGAGATATATGATTTTTCGAACATTCCGAGACGTATCACGTTCCCGGTGGGGTGCGAAAGGGTCAGCTTGCGAATCGACTACGGCCGCGCGCAAGTGGAACATGTACGTCACTGGCCGGCCGCGTACGCACACACGTCGAACCGAACGTGCGGCTTACGTACAAACGCCGCGCCGATGCGCCGGCCACGTTACACCCCCACACCTCCACACCCTCCTCCCGCGCCCCCGTCCTTCGTCAGCACGTACTACGGGGGATACTACGTTCTGTGATGCGGTGCAATTAAGCCCCGGAACCACCTCCACTGCCGCGGCGGTGCCGCCACCCCACCGTCGTCGTCCGACCGGCACAGACGTTCGGACCCCGCTGCCGTGGCGCAAGTCTGTGTCTTCTTTTACCACCCCCCCCGCCCCTTGCCCTCTCCCCCTCCGTCCCCTCCGGCCGTTTATCCATTCGTTCATTCATCAGAAAGAACCGCACACCTTGACCGGCCTGACCGGGCTTCGGTCAATGCGGCCCCGAATCGGGGAGATCCAGAAGTGCTCGATAAACCGAAAGGGTTGCGACACCCCGCGTGCGATGTAACACGAGACTCACGAGGCACACGTTGATGGATAGCATTCGCGACGGGGGTGCGGCAGCGATAGTTCGTTTATTCACACAAGATTCTGTAAGAACCTTTCTTACAGAAAGTTGCGTAACGAATATTATTTATTAAGCGCACACTCTTAATAAATTACACACGCGGGGGAGGGAGGGGGGTGCAACGACTCACCGAATCTGTATCACCGATACTATAATCGGCACTTGCGCTATTCGCGAGTGATGTTATCCAGGATATAATTACAGTTTTGTAATGTAATAATAAAACTGTGTATAGTAAATTGAAACATTATTTAAATGCAATTTAGGGACAATGTATGTATAAACAGATGAGTTTATTTCTGCCGATATCTTTTCGATATATCCAAGTTTAACGATATAAATATACGTGTATAAAAACGTGTAACGTTACGTGTGTACGTTAACTCTTACAGTATTCACTGTTCATTTCGCAGCTAACGATCTCAATATTTATATTGATATAAGTATATCTACTGCGTCTCTTAAACTCTTTTCTTTCTTTCTTTCTTCATACATTTATTTCTGTACTTTATATTGGCTAGTGGTTTAATTCTTCTGACTCTGCTAGCAATGATATAGTGTTGAGATGCATAAATCAGCGATGTTTTTTTTGCGTTTAAAAAACATCTGTTTTTACGTCTTCTTTTTTAATAATTATTTATTAAGCAATCTTGGTTTAAGAAATAATCGATATTATCTCTTTTATTAAAAGAAATTAAACAGAAATTAACGTTCAGTTAATTGAACATTGTATGCAAGATTTGTATTTCTTAAGAAAGCGACATATTATAATTATAAAATATAAATCTTAAAATCGCACTGTGAATATCTCGCTTTCTTTAATTGAAAGAAACGAGTTGGTAAAATTGAATCGAGCTCATTATTGAACAGACGTGTATACTGGTGTCGTTTAAATCTTACAAAGTTATATCGTTGAAACGATAGAAAATAAGGAAGATGAAGAAATTAAAGTATGCTTATGAATTACCCTACAAGGTAATCTTCCGTAAATTAATTTTTCCCCGCTCCGCGACATCCCTCTGTACAATCTTCCGTAAAGTGGTAGTATAATTCGTTTATCGCGATCAGTTATCTTCCGTGAGGCGACTTTTGGTACACGTGGCGCCATCCGAGCGTCGACGTGTCAAACTCGGCCGTGGAATTTGACGGTTTTTGCCTCCATTCGTCCGACGACGCACGTGTGGGTTCGCGTGCCGTACGAATCGTCCGCTTTTTGGCGCACAATTTAGGTACGCGTAATTATCCGCGAGCAATTTCGCGTGGTCGGAGGATCGCCAGCAGGCGGGTCGCGCGGAAGTGCCGGAAGTTACTGATCTCGCGAGGGCGTCGCGACGATACGGAGTCCCGCTTTTTGTTCGTCGAGGTGGGTTCTCCACGAGAGCCCCGTTGCTCTCGCGCGACGACTCGTTCGCCGCTCGTTCGGCCTCGTCCCGCGTCTCATTTCGCGTCGCGACCGTTTTGAGACTCGTAAACGGCGACGCGACGCCGACTCTCGCTTCCCTGCTCGTATGACGTTTCTCGGCGAGTGAACGCACGTGTCCGCGAAATCCTCCTAACCTATGCCTTACGTAACGCGCGAAAACGCCGCGGCCCGCTCTCGCTGGCTACCTCCGCCTGCCCCACGCCACCGAGGCCGTAACCGCAATCGTCCGGTGAATTCCAGGTGAAAGGCAATGCCGTCCGACGCGAAGAAGAAGCAGCAGCAGAAGAAGAAGGAGGCCGCGAAGGCGAGGCAGTCCGGCAAGAAGCCGCAGAGCAATAATCAGACCAGGGCGGCCGAGGACGGCAAGGAGCAGAGCCCGGCGCTGGGGGATCTGCAGAACGGCACCAACGGCACGGCTATTAGCACCGAAGGTGAGACAAAGAGAGAAGTGTGTCATTGCTTCCCGCCTCTCGAGATCCGAGCGCGCTCGCATCCGAGCCACTTTTTAATGACATTTAAACTGATCAAATCGACATTTAGACCGAAGTCTGCTAATTAAAAATTTCTGAGATATATTATTTCGAGATATTTCTAAAAATTCTAATGTGTTGAAGAACCTTTTAGTTTGACATTTTCAGTGTTATTATTTTAATATTAATAGATTATAAATATTATGAAGCTCTTTCTTCAGTGCGGATATTTTTAACAAATTTTTCAAGATACCATTACATTCATATTTTATAGAAAAATAAATTAATTTTGAAAACAGAAGAACGGAAGAAGATAATATTAATTTTTTAATATATAGATTTTATACATATTTTATAATTATAACAAAATATATTTATAATTTGGTGCCAAAAATTTCATGTGTTCTGTAAATATGCATTTTATCTTTGAAATACTGTTTGCGATCCATCGAACATTCATTAACATATGCACAATGACATATGCTTGCAGAGGCATTATGCCTGAAATTGGAGGAAGACGCCAGATTAAATGCGGATGCACGTTCGTGCACGGGCTCGCTGGCTTCGCATCCGCGCAGCCGGGATATAAAGATATCTAACTTTTCTATTACTTTCCATGGCTGTGAACTGCTGCAAGACACCATGTTGGAGTTGAATTGCAGTAGACGTTACGGTTTATTAGGTCTAAATGGCTCTGGGAAGTCTACGTTGTTGGCGGTGCTAGGAAACCGCGAAGTTCCTATCCCGGAGCAAATAGATATTTTTCATTTGACTAGAGAAATGCCTGCAAGCAATAAAACAGCTCTGGAATGCGTGATGGAGGTTGACGAGGAGCGCGTGCGATTGGAGAAGCTCGCCGAAGAGTTAGTGGACTGCGACGAGGAGGACGCTCAGGTTTGTCTGCGAACTGATATTTTGTCTAGAAATCCTCGTAAAAAAGAATGTTTTATTTACAAACTTGCTCTACGCAGGAACAACTCATGGATGTATATGAGAGATTAGAGGACATGGCTGCCGACACGGCGGAAGCTCGTGCTGCCCATATTTTACACGGTTTGGGTTTTACTGCAAAAATGCAAACAACTCCTACCAAAGACTTCTCAGGAGGTTGGCGCATGCGTATAGCTCTTGCTAGGTATGCAAAAATTTTAAGTATATATGAGAAATCTAGAAAATTATAAAAAGGTCCATTTGTTAATTTTGATGTCCATTATGATAAACATTTTTTTTTTACATTTTTTCTACAGAGCGCTGTACGTGAAACCGCATTTGTTGTTGCTCGACGAACCGACCAATCATCTCGATCTCGATGCTTGTGTATGGTTAGAAGAAGAGCTCAAAACCTATAAACGGATTCTCGTTATAATCTCACACTCTCAAGATTTCCTCAATGGCATTTGCACCAATATCATCCACGTCAATAAAAAGCAATTGAAATACTACACCGGTAATTACGAGGCGTTCGTGAAAACCAGGTGAGTTGGCGAATGATACCTCTGATAAATCATTTTTTTGTAATATTAAATTATTATTTTGTATGGTTTCTTTTTGTTTTCAGAATGGAATTACTCGAAAATCAAGCGAAGCAATATAACTGGGAGCAGGATCAGATTGCACATATGAAAAACTATATCGCGCGATTCGGTCACGGCTCGGCGAAATTGGCCAGACAGGCGCAATCGAAAGAGAAGACTTTAGCGAAAATGGTGGCGCAAGGTCTGACCGAGAAGGTTGTTAATGACAAAGTGCTGAACTTCTATTTCCCTTCGTGCGGGACGATTCCACCGCCGGTCATCATGGTGCAGAACGTCAGTTTTCGTTACAACGAGGACGCACCTTGGATTTACAAGAATTTAGAATTTGGAATTGATTTGGACACCAGACTCGCTTTGGTCGGACCAAACGGAGCAGGGAAGAGTACCCTGCTGAAGCTGCTGTACGGTGATGTACGTTACGGGAGTGTTCTATTAATAGTAACTCGATATTTTCCTTCTAACAAGATAATCTCGCGTTACAGTTAGTACCGACAAGCGGAATGATTCGCAAAAACAGTCATCTCCGAATCGGCAGATATCACCAACACTTGCATGAGTTATTGGATTTGGATATATCGCCTCTCGATTACATGATGAAGGCTTTCCCCGAGGTGAAAGAGCGCGAAGAAATGAGGAAGATTATTGGCCGCTACGGTTTAACTGGGCGTCAACAGGTAATAATAATTTATTACATATGAAATAGCGAAATTTAAGAACGATGGAATAATCGAACTCTCGTATTTAGATCTGTCCCATTCGTCAATTGTCGGATGGTCAACGCTGTCGGGTTGTGTTTGCCTGGCTGGCCTGGCAAGTGCCTCATCTGTTGCTGATGGACGAACCTACCAATCACTTGGACATGGAAACGATCGACGCGCTCGCCGACGCAATCAACGACTTCGACGGCGGCATGGTTCTCGTATCGCACGACTTCAGATTGATTAATCAGGTACATGCGGTTCCGCATAGATTTGCATTAATTCGAGAAAACTATAAATTCGGTGGACTGTATTCCGTATACTCGATGTTTAGGTCGCTGAAGAGATCTGGGTGTGCGAGAAAGGAGCGGTTACAAAATGGAGCGGCAATATTTTGGATTACAAGGAGCACCTCAAGGACAAGGTCCTGTCCGACAACCAAAAGAGGCAGGACTTGGCGAATCGGGGAAAATAATGGAGGCGGCGTTGCGATCCGCTTCTCCGTTTCTCACAGTGCACTATGCCTCCACATTTATAGGAATCTTTTTTTTTTTCTAAAAATTGTAACCTGCTGTAATCAGCACTGTGTACGCTGTTCCGTAGCGCGTCAGTGAGTGATCGGTTGGATTTACTTAGTTAATTTATTGAAGTATTAGGCCGAAATTGTAATCCTTTACTTGACAACCCGCAGGTTGTTGTGGCGCATTACTCAACCACAGTAGAAATCTAGAAATTCGAGAATCCGTGCATATTGCAGGGGAGTAAAGCAGATTAAATTCAAATAAATCACCGACAAGTTATTTATAATAATAATATTAAAAAAAAGGAGAGGACGAAAGAAACCCAGTGATTTCTCTTTGACGATCAACTTCATTATAAATTCTTACTAACGATCTATAATAAAACAATTTGATTATCTTCAAGATTCAAGAATATAAAATATTGGAACATGTACAAACGTATGCAGGTACGATCGATTATATAGTCCCAAAATACATTTTTATCCGTGTACGTATATAAATAATTATGATAATATAACATGGAAGACGTCATTTTTGTATATCTCTGTGTATTGTAAAATGTCGAGAGATGTCTTGGCGAATTTTCACCGCGTTTTAAAAATGATTAAAATATATTCCTCACGATACTTCCAACGTGTGCTTGTATATATAAAATATATATATTAGATATAATATATATATATAGATATATTAGATATATATATCTAATATATTTATATGTATTTTTTTATAGTAACGAGTAATTGACAAAACATTGACGAGTTTTTTCCTCCTCCGTCAATAATCTCATTAACTTTAGTTGATTCTCCACCTGAGATCAGCGATGACCCATTTTTGCGTTTGCCCGATGCATGGCTCAAATTTACGTGTGTATTTACAAATCTAACGACCATATTATGTACAGCTTTCGTTACCTTCGTTTTCGCGTGACGAAAACAAAACCGCGAGAAGTTAGAAATAATCCAATGATTACGAATACCGCAGCGAGAGAGAAATTTGATTTCATCGCGAGATCGATCGACGTATATACTCTTAAACTGGCGTAGAGGCCGGGATAGAGCAGGCCACTTCCTGGGCTAGCGCCGCGTTTCTCAGCACCAGCAGATGCGTGTCCATGTCGTTCAGGGCTTGATCAATGAACGCCAGTTTCCTGGCCTGGCTCTTGGGCACGCCGTGCTTGGTCACCAGCGCCAAGTGGGTCACCGCCAACACCAGGGCCGCCACCCTGGCTTCCAACAGTCTCGCGTCCAACGGAGGATACAAACTGCGAACGACGTCGTCCACGCGAGGCGGAATACGTCGGGCAACCTGCGAACAAGGATCCGGTAAGAGAAACAATGCAGAAAATAATGAAAATGATAATGTACAGCAGCCGCACTTACGTCTACTATCTCCAGCGGGACAGTATTACTGTTGACGGTCCCAGCGATAGTGGTGAGACTGGCTGCCAGAGCATGACAGGATCGGAGCACTGCTATGCAAGGCGGCGCCAAACCGGTGGCGTCGTCCACCCACCTAGAACGCAAAAGGGTCATCTTTCTCGCGAAGCTAATAATGGAAGACAAAAGACGCGAATGTTAGGGCGAATTTTCGTAACTTAAATTGAATTTATCATAACGGACGTGTCAGGATATCTATAAACTGAATCCAAGATAAGCACGTGACATGTCGCGTGCAACGTTATCTGCAATCTTCATCATTTCTTCGTCGTTTACGACTCTCCTTTTACCTTTCAGCACCCGCCAGCCACTCTTCGCTCTCCCACACATCCAATCCCAAGCCAGTGATGTTCTCTCCCTCGAGCAGATCGGAGCTCAGCTCCGCGGAGTCCTTCTGATTCTGAAAACGAGCAAGTATCATTGTATTCCCCGCCGACTGCCTAGCGTACGTCCCTGTCTCTTCTGGACTCACGTAATAGCAGCGTTGTCTGCGACAAATGACGAGGAGCACCAGGAGCGCGCCGAGGAAGACGGCGGCGAGTGCGCCCAGGGCGACCGCCACCACTGTTTCCATACCAGTGGCGGTGGTCGGTGGTCCAGCGTTGCTCATGGATATCGACGAGCTCATGACGAGGTCAGCGAGATGGATCGAGAGGTGACAGTCGATCTGACGAAGCGTCGCGCGACGAGCCTCCGGATGGAGAGGCAGCCTCAGTCGGATTTACATTGGCATCCAAAGCGAAATGTCAACAATCGCGCAGCGTCGCGATCCACTCTCCCGGTGATGGACGACGACGGTGGGAGGCGGCGACTGTCACGGGTCTTAAGCCCCGTTCACCGCACGAGATTAGCGACTGGCGACTGGTCACGAGGAGTTTAGAGTGGCTCGACCAAACTGCGATTAAATATTAAACTCGGTCAAGCGATATGTGTATACGTTAAAATTCTTTTTTTCATAATTAATAAGAAAAATCATTCACAATTTAATTTTTACACTTTCGACATTAATGTCGAAGTGTAAAAATTAAATTGTGAATGATTTTTCTTATTAATTATGAAAAAAAAGAATTAAATTAGGCACGACGATTTATATATTGTAATCTAATTGTGTAATTAGAGAAATCTTCCCTTAACTAATTGAATTTTAAACTTTGCGTTAACTAATTTTTCAAGATTTTAATTTAATTCATGGTTGATTTGTCAAGCGATATAATAATATATAATAATTTTTTAATTGACAGCTCGTAACATAATATCACACTTATTAGCCAGATGTTTCGTAAATATATACGTACCTTTATTGCGCGTTATTATTCAATTTTTATAAAAAAAATTGCATTTCCATCGTCATCTCTGTATTCGATCTATGTACTACATTTCGGGCAAATCGCGTCTCGCGTTAGAGAAAAAAAATTTTCACGCCGAGAAAATTTTCAAAAAAGTCGCGCCACGTGGGTTTTTCATCGCGCGAGCGCTTCCCGATTCATTCAACAATCCCGAATAGGCTGCTCCCGCCGCGCGCGAGGTTACGCTTTCTGCACGGCGTAGCGTGGCAGGCCTGCACCCTGGGAGGATGAGCTAACCGGACGGCTCTTCGCAGTCAGATGTTTCGCGTTGTCGCGCGACGGCTCTCGCCGCGCTGTCGAAGTCGAGTTCCGTTTCAACGACCGGCGGTCGCGCGCGTGCTCGTATTCCACTCTATTCCACCGAGGTGATACGTCACACGCACGCACACACACGAGAGCGCTTATCTCACTCGTTGTCAGCCCGACCCGACGACCAGCTGAACGCTCCTCCTCGCTCGGATTCTCGCGCGTATCGTCGGCCGTCGCCTGGTGCCTGGTGATACGTCGCACACGTTCGTCATTCCGCGCGACCTAACCTCACCCCGTGCCGCCGCACCGTCCGTGGCCTCCCTCGGCCACGCAAGTGAACTCCGGAGTATCGTCGCGACGGCCAATTCCACGTGGACGCCCGCGATGCGACTCGAGGATCGCGCGACCTGACGACGCTCAAAGGGGACGAGAATCCGTTGCCGCGAGACTCCTGTAAACGTCGCGCAAAACGAGCGGGGTCGGGACCCCGGACGAGGAATCTCTGGTTTTGCGCCGAGTGGGAGAAAGTATCACGACGCGATATCGCGAGCTACTTGTTGACAGTGTCCTTTTGCGAGTAACACCCTGGGCTACATGGTAAGGATGAACAAAAAGACCAACAGTGCGACGGCCAGATTAAAACAGGACTATCTGCGCCTTAAGAGAGATCCGGTGCCATATGTCCTTGCGGAGCCAGTGCCTTCGAATATCCTGGAATGGCAAGTTTTCAGACTCGGTCGATCGAACGAGTGATTCGCCGATCGCGCGAGCTTACGCGTTAACGCAACGTCTTTCGCTTGTCTTTCAGGCATTACGTGGTCATAGGGCCGGAAAAGACGCCGTACGAGGGTGGCTTTTACCACGGGAAGCTCATATTTCCAGGGGAGTTTCCGTTCCAACCTCCTAGCATTTACATGACCACCCCCAACGGCCGGTTTAAAGTCAACACGAGACTATGCCTGTCGATATCCGACTTCCATCCAGACACGTGGAATCCAGCGTGGAGCGTGTCCACCATCCTTACCGGCTTGCTCAGCTTCATGGTAAGTTCCCCGGGATGCTTCGACAGCGCAGATTTCGAAGACTGATCTGATTACTGTCACACATTTACAGATTGAGAAGAGTCCCACGCTCGGCAGTATTAATACAACGGATTACGAGAAGAGGCAGCTGGCTGCTCTGAGCTTAGAATATAATCTGAGGGACAAGATGTTCTGCGAACTCTTTCCAGAAACTGTCGAGGTAAAACCACTAATAATAATAATAATAATAGCGTGTTATAAGTTGAATATAGAATATGGTCAATGTGATATGGCATTACTGTAGACGATCAGAGCGGAACTGGAACGTCGGAAGGAGCTTGAGAAGCAAGCGAGGCATCAGTCCACCGCGGCCGAGGTCTCTTCGTTGATACGAGACCAGCTCCAGAGGGACCAGAGCCCGCTGCACAGCGCGCTGGCCAACCTCGGTGTGATCATTGGCTTCGCGGCGTTCGCGTACACGGTGAACTACGTGCTGAAGAGCATAGCCATGGAATAAATCCGGGAATCGAACTGTGTGTTATTTCGAGCTACAACGAGTACGAGTGAGCGGGAAGGACAGTTGTGTGAGACGGTTGCGTAAGTACATTCTCATGAAAAAGCCGGAAGATTACAAGGAAGAATAAGACCATGGGCTCCTGTTTACCGCTTGCCTATCGATCAATCCTTCAAGCTCGTGAGCAGACGAGCCCTTCGTTCGGTTCCACGCGGTTCTTGGAACCTTCGCCAGTAAGCTGTGGTGATAGTTTCGTAGATTTTTATATTCGAGGATCGATTGTAAGATACAAGCTGTATTATACTCGCGAGTTCTACCGCGCTCCTAGCCGTTAACCGGGAAAAAGTAATAATTCGTATCTCGCGATTCGCATAGCGACACGTGCGCCAAGTGACGAAACGTATAATCGCAGTGGCTTCCCTGCCTCTTCTCTTGTATTGGGACTTTGCTCTCTTCTGTCGTGATTTGTAAGTGGGGTGAATCAAGTTTCTTCTTTGCGGTGCACTGACATCCTTCCTTTCAATTGAATTTTCTACGCTTTTATGATGATTGTAATTCAAATGCATCCAGAGAAGTGTGTGCTTGGGTGCGTTCAGGAATTCACGGTGTATCATTTTATCCTTGTTGTTCACCGAGTGTTAAACAAGGATAAAATGATATCTAGATACACCTGGGCGAAGTTTCTGGACGCAGCCCTTTACGATACGTTTGTCTAGCACCTTCCTCTCCTCCCCCCCTCCCCTCCCGTTTACAGAGAATCTCTCGGATAGAAATGCACAAATTTGCGACGTGCCAATGAGATTAAATCCTAAATTGAAAATTGCAATTTTGGGTAAATCAGGTTACGTGTGCTTCGCAGCTTGACTCATGGAATGAGTCCACTTTGTAAATATATCATTAAGGACGGCGGCGTTATAGTGATATGGTAGATATCTCTACGCTGTTAACGTAAGAAAAAGCGAATGTAGCTACATTGAGCCTTCAGTGATTATCTCGACTTCCTCTTAAAAATTTTGCGATTTTATGTTTCTCGTTTGTGCCGATAAGTATGGCTCGTAGTATTTGCTTCGTATTGAATTTCTTCCAGTCGGATGGCATTTCTTCCTTTTAATTGACACGAAAAGAAGCACGTTTACAATTGAAGTAAATCTCCGCTCTTCCATGACTGATTGTATAATAACGAAAGTTAATAATTTTGATAATTTAAATGAGGAAATAATTTTGCGTAATTAAAAGAGTAAACTATAATTGGAACATATTAAAAAATGAATAAGTTTATAATTCTTTTTCTTTTTTTTTTACGATACATCGATAATCTCGACCAATAATTCTTTCTGTCAAATGGTAGAACAGTTGTTTAATACATATGATGTTACTTTTTATCAGCGAATTTACTTTGCTGTTGTATCTTTATTAATTTCTACGGGCCACAGATTTTCGATTTTATTATGTATTTCCTTCAAAAGTGAGGCAATTTCCCATCTCAAGCTATGCTTATACAAATTCTATCTATCGTCGTATGTATAAACTTATTGCGTGTGTATCGTAATTATTAAATAATTACGGCGAAAAAAATGTAAATACCTACTATGTTATAATTATTATTGTAAGCGTGTGGAATATAGTTTACTTACCTGAGAGATATCGCGTGTTTCAAGACTGTCTCGTCGAATTAAATTATTCAGTCCTCCGTTCAATCCTCTGCTGCAAAAATCCAATCACATAATCACAATTAGTATCTATAGAATAGAGTATTTTAGAGATTTGCGTTCAATCCTCTGCTGCAAATCCAATCATATATTAAAATTAGTTATCTATACACGAAGAGAATTTTATTTTAAAATTTATCCTGAAAATCATGTTAATCGTGGGACAATATAGTATTTTGATAAATTTTATGTGATTTTCACTATTTTCTTAAATTTATTGTAGTGCACAGTAAAAAAAACAGAAAATCATATAAAATTTGTCGAAATATTATGTTGTCCCATGTTTAACATGATTTTCAGAGTAAATTTTAAAAGGAAATTTTCCGTGTAGAATATTAGAGTATTTCACACACACACACACACACACACACACACAGAGAGAGAGAGAGAGAGAGAGAGAGAAATTTGCGCGCAAGGATGAAACGAGCATCGTTGAAGTTTTAGACGAGCGGTATCAGTTTCAGCGACAGCGATTCTTTTTGCAGCTAGCAAAACGAGTCTATTAATATAATCGACGAAGATATGTGAATCCGAAATCAAATTGGCGGAACCCACCGATCGCTGCGGCTCAAAGGGACTCCTGTTACAAAGGAATTTCGCGAGAGGAAGCTCGTCTACGACTTATCGCCGCGAACGCGAACAGGGAGACAGCGAGCATTCTCTCGCGGTTGGCGTGCGGTTTACCGTTCCGGTAAACTGTTAGAATCCCGGCGCTGAATGCCTCGTTGTCCGGGTGCGCTCGGGAGGAAGGATGCGTCCTGTGAACCGAGCGCGCGCGTCTTCTTGTCGAATGTCGTGTTTATGCCCTCCCTCCCCTTATGCGGGCTGCAGATAAATCCGGGGCTTTCACGGCGCTCCTCTCCGCGTTAGTGACTGTTTATTAACTCTTTCAAGCTCCCACCCCCTCGGCGGTATACGTTAACTCTTCGTTTTAGCTTCCGTTTAAACTCACTACGTCTCTCCTTCCCCCCTCCCGTGGATTACATGGAATTTACGTACACGTATCTATGTTTCATGTTGAACTTTATTGCAGTAAACTCTGCAATTCTGTTATCTGCGTGAAATATGAAACAATTGTTTTAAATTAAATGCGATGTAGCGTGACGAATTTAAATAATTTCTTTTAGATATTTTTTTTTTACAAATTGTCAATTTTCAGTTTTTATACTTTTATTAGCTTATAATTAACTTTTAAATATTTCGTGTAATGGTGCATCTTCCTGATATTTATATTATTAATAACATTTCATTATTAATATTATTAATTATAATTATTAATTTATTATTATTATCATCATCTTAATATTCTGTTTTAATATGTCTGTCAACGCGCCCGGCTCCCTTCTATCTTGCAGCCGATTCGTCTTCCTTGCGCCAACGGCGAACCGGCCGGCACATGTCGCGGACGTGATGTTATTTCGTATCCCGTCGTCGCCGCCGTACGATCCGCTTTAATCCGTGAAAACATCCCGCAAAAGAAGCAAACAGCAATTTATTCGACCGCGTAATAACAAGGAAGTCGCTCGCGCGCACGGCCAGCACGTCGAGAGATGCCGCATCTGTAATCTCCACCCTCGGCCGGAGCACCCTTCCGCGTCGGTGACGCGTCCGCCCCCTTGACGTGTAAATCATAGAGAGAGGCGCCAGGACACTCTCTCGGTCTCGCTTCGAATCCTGCGTAAATAAGATGCACATGTCCGTGGCAGGATGTCAGGGCGCGATGTACACGTTTATTGAGATCGCTCTTGGCGGTCTCGTTTCTAGAGCCGAGAAAATGGACAGCCGAAGTTATTGAACTTAATATAAGGGAGACAGAAGCGACGGTTATCGCTTTTTCCCCGTGAATTTATGTATCTCAAAATAGAACGCCGTTCTTCGCGCCCGAAGTGGTATATCCATCATAAAACATATGCGCTCTATGAAAGAAAAAATTAATTGAGAAAAATACCAAATTACTAGGATTCCCGTACCCTCGTGCAAAATCTGTAAATGTTTCGTAAAATTAATTTGCAGCCATCACGAGTCCAGAGCGTCGTTCAAACCGAAGTGCACGCAGTCTCCCGGGGCGTTTACGAAATTTACATCGCCGCTAAATCGCTATCGGGCTTTCCGTTCGGCCACAGCTCGAGCTTTCACGGGTCCATTCGCTACCGGAAACGGGCGAGATGAGAGCTCTCCCGCGAGGGTGATTTAGGGTGTCGTCAATCGGTACCGGAATGGTTCGTGGAATCATTTTACGCCCTCGGTCGCCAGTAGGTCGGACGAGAGGCGATCGCAACGGAAAAGAAAAAAAGAAGAGAGAGAGGGGAGGGGGAAGGGAACGACCATCGAAAACCGTCTCCGGGATAATTAACTGTAGGGACGACCTCATTACGCGGCTTAATGAGCTGCCAGCGGCCGCGTCGTGTCGCGGCGTTGATACTTTTTCGAGTTTCGGGAGAACGGAGTGGAAACGTCGCGGTAAAAATTGCTTGTGCCGCGGCAATGATTTATCGTGACTGAGAGCCGGCGCGACCTGATTTGTCAATTTTAACAAGCTGCGCCTCGTCGCATCTTGAAAAACGAGAGAATTAGTCCAGAAAAATAAATAACAATTATAAATTTTCACGGCACTAGACTTTAAATTCAATTTATCTCGAACGATTTCGTCGTGTTAAGCGAATAGCAATCATTTACGCGAAATGGTTTTTAATATCTACATCTGAATTTATTATTTTTTATAGTATTATTTACAGAATTTATTATTTGCAGAATTTGCTGGATCAAGTTTGAGTGGATACCTATTTAAATAACTAATATATTGTATGAAAAACATAATGGTCATGCATGCAGTATAGAAATTTATAACACCAGACTTTTTTGGGGCAACGATGAAATTAATTATATTTATTTTAAATATTTTGTATTCTGTACATATTATATACATATCATTTTATCATATAACATAGAATGTTATATGTATATTTTTTATTATTTTTTTTTAATATAAGAAAGTATCAACTTTTTGCGACGGATTTTCCGCGCGCTTCTATTTCCGCAGCGACGTGGTCTTTCTCTCTCAATCCACGTGCTCGCTTCATGGCGAACTCTCACGGAAGCTGGCACAGTGGTTCTCGACGATGATTAACGTACCTAGCCCGATGTAGAAAAGAGAAAGAGAATCGTAATCCAGCCGCGGTTTACTGTCGGCGGTAAAACCGAATAAGTGCGCGCCATCGAGAGAATTGGTCCTATTCAGATATAAATATATATACATGCCGAGGAACGCGCGTGCATGGGGAGGGTACGCGGACCGCGTGGCCGCCACTAACGACGGGCGATTCATCATCCGGGGAAAACGAAAGGAGTGACAGAAATCGTGGTGATTCAGTAGGAAAAGACAGGGAACAGATGTTTATGCCCCGGCGACGTCGGCCCGTAACACCTTCGGCTGCCATTCTCCTCTCCCGTCGAACGTCCGTCTGTTGCAGCCACACCAGGATTTATGTCATATAATACATAAATATTATAATACATAATAAAAAATTATATGCACATATAATTTTTTATTTTTATTCTAAATTGATAGTCAACTAATTTGACTTCATAATTAATTTATTTGATTTTATTTAAAAATGCCCCATCAAAGTGTTGCATACATAAAAGATGAATAAATAAATAAATACTTAAATATGCAGTATTAAATGCAGTATTTTGAAGAAATTTAATTATGTAGAATCAGATAGATTAGCCTGCAAAGAGCTCAGAATAAAAAAGTAAGAATTAAAAAAAGAATGATTAAAGTCCATGAAACTCGCGAAATTAATGCTTCTGATGTACAGCGTATTTTTATTACAATTCAGAAATGAGAGACCCGCGATTTAGTTTCTCATCGGAATCAAATTCTCATGGGAATTCTCATGGGAATGGGATTCGAATTAAAACTGCGATCGCGGAGTGATCCGACAGCAGCAGTAATGTAAAACCTGACTCTTTCTCTCTTTCTCTCTCTCTCCCGCTTTTCGTGGTGATCCTGGAAATCTGAGAAACCGCCTAAACTAAACATAGAGCGGAGACCCACCGCGCGGGTGCGCGATGACGCTTTATTTACGAACGCATGAGGCCGATGGAAATCCTTCCAGCGGCTCCAGACGCCGATTATACCGAAGCGAACCGCTTTTACGAGTTCCGATGTTTAATGTCATCGCGTTACGTACGCTGTTGCTTTTTGTACCTTGCCGTTGCGTATACACGCCGCCGTAGGTCGAATGACGGTACAAAACGCAGACGCGTACGTGGAGCCTTATACACGTTCAGCAATAATCCTTGCCGCGCATCGCGCCAGAAGACATTAAAATTCGTTAATTAAAGGCATTGAAATATGTTATAATCAAAGATTTTTATCGACGCATTAGATTAAGGATGATTGACGAATGGATGATTGAAATTAAATTAGCTTTAAAATGAAACGAAAAAATGACAGAAATAATTTGCTTGAAAATTATTCATAAGTAAACTTAATTCATGATGTTACATATTTCGGTGACATATTTCGCAAAAGCAGATTTAGGTAACATGTTGTGATCCCCTGAATTATGTTTCCCCATCGAGTCGATTATTAATTCTAATCGACTCGATTATTTTTCACACAAAGGATGAAAATTTCAAGACACGCGCATTTGAGGATTATAAGAGAAGAATTGAAGTTTAGGTTTGCGTTCAATTTGCATTTTCAACTCCACCCTTTTGCAAAAATTAATTCGTCAAGTCGAGATAAGAGATAAAAATCGATTTTTATAGTTGAAGTCCGAAAGCAGTTTTTGTTTTGACAGATTTGGTAAACGATGAAAAAACACAAAGGCAATTGCGTTAGCGAATGCGAGTAACGATTACAAAACTGCTTGCGGTGATTTCGCATTCTCGCGCCTCGCGCATCTCTGGAGATGCCGCGGATGACGCGGCGAGAGGAGCCCAGCAACCCGTCCCGATTGGCGGCGGGCGTATACCGCGATGACACGGCTCCGGACCAATGGCACCCGGGCTGGGCGTCGCACTGCACGGTTCCGTTAGCTTGCAATAATATTTGCACTGGCACGTCTATAATCCATTAGGGCCGCCGCCGTCGCCGGGCGGCGTTCGGTAAATTATTTATCGGCTCTTCCGTCCCCCCTGTCCCCCTCGCACGCCCGTCTCCGTCTCTTTCGCACCGTAACCGCGGATGTATCTCCTTTCCCACAATCACTGGACTCTCTCCTCCCTTCCTTGATTTACGATTCCGCCCGTCATACGGCACCCGTACGTTTCGCGAGACGCGCTCGTTACGCGCGTCTGACATCACACGAGCGTTCAAGGCGAGAGAGATTTGCCGTGGCGTTAAGTCCCCGCGTAATCGTCCATCCCACCCATCATAATATAAGACGTGATAGCTGAAGGTCAATAATTTCCCGCGTCGCCTCGAATCCCCGCATTAACGTCACCCCAAATGGCGCTTTTTAGCTCGGTCTAAAATTGAGCTAACTCTCGCTTTCTGTGATGTGATGACTCGAATAAGCAATAATAGAAAACTTTGATAATCAAGACCTTCTAAATTATTTATTTAATTTTAGTGCGATACAGAGACGGGATAGTGCGATGGGCGTATAAGCCAATTTTTGTTTCAAGAGTTTTCAGATAATAAAATATTCAAATGTTATTTGAAATGAGAAACTCTTAGAAATCCTGAAAAATTTGAAATTTTTGAATATTTGGAAAATTTTTCTTAAAAATGTCTAAATACCTAAAATGTTTACGTTATCCGTAAACAAATTTTTTTCGGAAACATTCAAAAGAAGCTTACAGATTTTTTTAATGATATACTCGAAATATGTGTGTGTCTTTAAAAAGGTATAAAAACAAAGATACATACTTTATTATTCATTGTTCTTTTATTTATGCTTTGTCGCTTAATTGCTTAGAATTTTTTTCTATATTTTTGCAGTACTTGCAACAGTATAAAAATATTATACTGTATGTACAATGAAAATGCGCGAGCGGCGATGTCGCTCAGATAAATAAGCATAATACATGTCGCATTGAGTCAAGGGAATGGATAGTGAAATGTCTCGCTTAAAATCTCCGTTAATATACTATAAATTATATACAAAGCACTTATCTACGATCGTGTTACATGGTAACGCGTATGTACAGAAGCAGGAAAAGATACGTATTACATTTGCGGCGCGGGAGGGTTCGTCGAGTTTTCTCAAATAAAATTGAAAATGACATTTCAGCCGAAACCGAAACGAGATCGCGGGCTTCTTTTCATCTGGGGAGAATTGTTTCAATTCCTATCTCAGAAGGTTTTCCAGCCGATATCGATCTTCCAACTTTATACCTGACGCGGAGCTATTTCTCGATAGAGAGAACCGACGAACCTTTTGCGCACCGACCGAAACGGGATAATGCGTGACAGAGTATTCGCAGGTTCGCGTCGATATTACCGCAGGATGAATAAATTTATTGCATTTATCCGGCCACGTGGTGTGAATTCCACACCACGTCGCGAATCGATATAAGACTCGTCTTGTTGCGCCTTCATACACTATATAGGGAAGAAATAAAAACGTATCATTCGGTACTGAATCGTAGAAGAGAGACTACGCGTGAATTCGTAGCATTATTTTTATTTCGCAACGAATAAATGTAACCGCTTGCGTAACATCGAAACGAAAATAAATGTATTATCTCTATATTGCAGCAGAGTGAGCTGCGTGATACGGGCGCGAGCCAGGCGGGATCGCTTCCTTCCTGTCCTTCTCGTGTAAAGTCGTAGATTACATAGGGCTCTGAGTTACGTTCATACATATATATATATATATATGTAAAATATATGCGAGGTAAAAAAAAAAAACAGTTTCGTGCGCCTTTGCCGAACGGGTCAGCTATATGGTTTTGCACAAATCAGCCGCGACGGTCATTTTACGAGACCTTCGAGAAACGGAGTCACACCGGCTGTCACGCCGAATCGTCTCCGAATCTTTGTCGCTCGCGCGGTCAAGAGATGCGTGTCCGTAATGTCATATTTTTTTTCCGTCTCTTTCGCGCTCGTTCTATTACTTCTTATTGTGTTTTGACGTGTATTACTTATTATTGTGCTTTAACGTGCATCCCGTTCCCAGGCATTTTCGCGTTAGACGGTGATTTCGGCGAATACGAAACCGCGAGAGGAACGAGGAAAGTCTCGAGAAATAACAAAACGGCTGCTTTATATAAATATCTGATACCATTCGTTTGGCAAAGCTACACGAGACTGTTAACCGAGTAATAGCCTTTCCTCAAGGGAAAGGCATTGCAGTTCAACTGGCACAAGCAGTTTCTTTCAACTATCCTTTTCCTTTTGAACAGTAGTCCACTACTAATACGAATACACGGAATATTATCTGGAAGCGGAAGCTACACGCGGAGCTGTTTCTCGATACAATTAAATCTATATAAGAAATTTCTCTAAATTATCCCTTTTTTTTCCTATCAAACGATAGCGCTCGTACTAATAACAGTACAAGGAACTATCCGAGAACTATAGGCGGAGCTTTTCGTTGAGGCAGTTATAAACACGACCAAGTTTCTTTAAAATATCCTTTTTTTCCCTTTTAAATAATGATTCATATATAAAAAGAGTACAAGAGACACGCCTGGGAGTCTTTCCCGCGGAAAGTCCAAAATCTTCGCGGCGCGACGACGTCGATTACATCCTCGACGATTGGATCCTCAAAACGTTGTTTTGTGGATACACGGCGAACGTTTTGTCAGCGCCGTGACAGATGAGCCTTCGCTCGTTCGTTCGCTCACTCGCTCGCACGTGAAAATTATTTTTGGAGATACCGGCAATTATATATACCAACGAGAGAAAGAGAGAGAAACGGGAGTTCGGAAAGACTGAAGGAAGAGGAGAAAAGTTCTTTTAGATCGTCCTTGGACGTCGCTGCACGGCTCGTTGTCTTAGGGCTCGCGCGAAGTGAAGCAGCTGTCATGGTCATTCTCGATGTCTTTCTTTTGCCGCCGCCACGGACGTGTAGGGGGTACAGTCGGAGAAACGAACCGGGACCCTCCCAAAGGGAACCCATCGGGGAAACGTTCAGAAAAATTATCGGACCTGATCGAGTTCGCAGAATTGGGGTTCTCGAAAAAATAAAATTGTAATATCTCAGCCTCTTGACATTTATCGGTTGACAGTTAAGACCGCAAAGTTCCGGCCTCTCGAAAATCCATTGAACAAATCAATAAATTAGCGACAAATTGATGACATTTCCGTACCGGGCTTATCGAGTGACTGCGAGACGGATATTTAACGGTCAACTCCGGCTTTAGATCGGATGACGTCCGTCCCCCGTCGACGGGGGACGGATGCATCGGGTTTGTTTTTGCAGCGCGCGGCGGCGAGGAGCGTCATCAGGACGGGGGTGCCCGAAAAGGCCCCGCTGGTGAGGCGGAGGGACGCCGAACGTCTCGGATGTGTCTTGGCTAATTGAATTCAAAGAGATTTATGGTCGGCACCGGCGCGTTGCGCGACGAATAAAAAGCCAGGCATCAGGGGGCGGGAGGGGAAGAGCGCGCGCGGCGCGGTTTAGACCCGCTGTCGAGATTCCCTCAGGAACTGTCGCCGGCCGAAACATAGATAAATGTTTTTACCGGGCCAATTAACGTTGGCGGAATAGCGAGGAGACCCGGAGACCGGCGCTAATCGCGCGAGCCTCCGATCTAGCGTCCGCTAGATCCCAAGTTAATCGTGGAACGGGGGGGGGGGGAGGAACCGAGGGGCGCGAATGAGATAACGATGTTAATGACTTGAACTTGGCGAACTCGTGATATTTCCTCGCCCGTATTTTCGCGATTATCTCGCTTGTCACAATGACGCAGCGTTATCGCTATATTATACATCCGCTTCGCGACACTAAAACTATATTCCGCGATATATTACGATATTTTCGTGAATGAGAAGAATGTGTTTTTTTTTAACGTGACGCAAACGTCTCGTTTATGCGAGATCCGCTGGACCGAATCGCGCGCCTCTCACTCTCTCTCTCTCTCTCTCTTTCCCTCTCGGTCACGAGATTTTTTTTCGCCAAGATTCGCGATAAAGCTCGATGGTGCGCGGGGGAAAGAGAGGGAGGACGGCTTCTCAACGCGGCGCGTCTTCGTTAAGCGGTTTAAAACGCGGCCGAAAGTTTGCTTTGACCGGTTTAAAATAACTAACGCCATTCGGAATATTCACGGTGCGGTCGCGCGAGCACCGGAGCCGCGCGCGGCGCGCGGCTGTTTTATGTGCGTTACGCGACAAGGGGAGTCCCGGACGAGAGGGGAGGGGGAGCGACTGTCATCTAGGGAGAAAAAAATAATATTGTGCCCGACCGATGGGCGCCGAAATGCTCGTTAACTCTTTCACATTTCCTTAAGGAGCGGCGGATTATTAAAATGCGGATACGCGATCGCGATCTCTTCGTAGACGAGAATCAACGTGACAAATTATTCGTTGACAGGTATGTTCTTTTCGATGAAAATTTACTTAGGAAGATATGCGTTAAAAATCGTTTGGAATATTTCCATCGTAGGATAGAAGACGTCGATAAAGCCTGAAGATTTTCGGAAGCTTGTTTCTCGTACGATATTGGCGCGTATTGAAGATATATGCATTTCTTCCCGGATCACCCGAATTATTGGAATAACACTTAGAATGTGGACGAATGTTTTACGTTCGCGAATAAAAACGAGAGATACTCGCCGCGTTCAGTGGCCGGAGTTTACGCGCGGCGGTTTATCGGCGAAAATTCGCGGCGGGAAAACGCGCTCGTGAGAGAGCGAGCTTATGAGACTCGATAAATCGCCGGGCCGAGATTGTTTGGACAGACCGGGTAAACGCTCGTAAATCCGCCGTTAACGGGCTGCAACGCGCTCCCGAGAGGTAGTCAAAACGGAAAATGGACGCGGGGGAATCCCCGCGACGATGATCGACCGCGGTCCGTCGTCTCCCGTTCGCGGAACGAAATTGCTCCGAGAGGTAAAGTCGGCGGCTCCGGGAATTCGGGGAAAGAAGCTTCTTCGATTCGAGTGGCTTGTTGCCGGAAACGACTAACCGATCGATTGTCGATCTATTCGAACCGAGGAGGATTGAGATGGAAAGGAAAAGATTACGAGACGTAATTTGGTTGATTGATGCAGGTGCGTAACGCACGAGACGGACTAATAAGCGCGCGCTTTTGCGGCCGCGTATCGGCGGCCGAGTTGTCGCGCCGTTAATAGTCCGACGAGAAGACGTGAATTATTAGCCTGCGTTATGTCGCGAGTGAGCGAGCGAGCGAGCGAGCGAGCTAGCGATGCCGCGTCGCCGGGAATCGTCCGGGACAGAATTAACTGTCGTTGAATTGGGTTTCAAAGGCCGCGCCGGAGAGAGAGACGCGTCGCGCGTGTTATTATACCTCGCGCCCGCGGAGTCGCGATACCGAGTACGCGGGACAACGGTTAGGTCCCGCCGCGCGCGGGATCGTCCGGCCCGTCGAGAGCCACGGCGCGAGCTGGCACTCCTGATATCCGTGTGAGTCGCATCCTGGGCGCGAATCGATATTTCCTTCCAAAAATCAGGCTGCGAACCAAGCGGCAGAATGACGGATGCTAACAGCACGAGCGAGCGTTATCTCTTTTTTTTTTGTTCATATGGTCACTTTCAATTCGCAGGAATCACGCGCAGTGTGTCTCGCATCTACTGCGCTTCGTACTGTGAAGCTCCATTCTGAAAATAATGGATCCCGATAGAGAGAAACTATAAGCGAGAGTCTCATCGGAGTGCAATGCCGCAGGGACATTTTAATCGTACGCGCTATTTTATGCCGTAGTGGAGCATTCAATTTGAAATGAAAATCTTCACTATGTGTGGAGCAATCACGTGGAAAATATTTTACATAAAACTTACACAGTGTCAGAAGGAAAATATGAAATATTCCGTAGTATTTTAAAGTATTCATTTTTCCTCGTTTTTAATATCCTTATATAGATTAATTTATAATTATACCTATACTTTTTAAACAATTATATGTTTTGTTTACCTCAATTGATTCATCTCATTATTCTGTACACAAAGTATTTAAATTAGATCGTAGAAAATGAATATTTTACGAGATATTTCATATTTTACATCAAAATACGACAAAATAAAGTATAAAATATTTCTCATAATTTTTACTTCTTTCAAAAACTTTTCACCTCTTTCTCATTTTATCCTGGCTAAGCTATTGATTTTATTTGACTAATCCTATAGTCTAATACTTGTACAAAAATAATCGTACATATGATTCAGTAAAATCATGCAAATCGGCTGACTTTATCCCGTCACTTTTGCGATTCGTCCGTGTATAAGGGGCGCTCCACAAATGACTAGAATATGCTAAAGAATAATGTGTAAATTTTTTATAATTTAAAATGTTTTCTATAAACTTTATTTTGCACATTTTTCTTCCGACACTGTGAAACTTTTATTCAAAATATTTTTCAGTAATTTCATGTATAATAAAAATATTTCAGGCTATATTAGTTGGAAATGCTCCATTCTGCATATATATTCTTTTTATTAAAAAATAATTTACTTTAAACTTTCTTCAATATAAAAATATATAATTGATAGATACATACGCACACGCACACAATTTTTACATACTATGTATATATGCTCTGTGTGCGTGTGCGTATATTTGTATAGGCGAGCATATAAGTAACATCCTTTTTGGATTGAAAAGTATTCCCCCCTCCCCTCCTTTGTCGCCATCTTACCTCTAAGTTTTATATATCCTGTAATTTTATTCTAGCCTTATATCCTACGAAGTTGTGTTCCAATCGCCTTCCATTCTCCAGACGCTAAACGCGTACGATATTTTCTCTTTCGCTAAGTAGTTACTCGGCGACGCCGCAAACTCCCTCGCAGCCGCAACCGCATTGTGGGCGGACTTTTCTGAAACAGATATTTTTTATCTCCTATTATTCAATGTACAAGCGATCGTGTTACATCTTTTTCCAAAGGCTTAAAGAATATAATTATCATTTAATATAACTGCATTCTGACACGCCAAGTTTCTTTTCAGTCACTTGGAAAGCCAGATGAAGTAAAGCCCATAAAAAAATCAAATATAATTTCAATAATAAAAATCACATAAAAATTGATTATGCATTTTTCTAAAGAAATCGAAGAGGACACATTAAATATTATACGGTTCGTGATTGGAAAATCTTCCCGTTTACCCAACAATTTCGATTATTTAATAACAAAATTCGTCTTTTTCACACACACCGTCAATATTTATTTCGTTTCCGAGAAGATCCACATCATTCTCTCGGCGCGAGTCCCGAGCCTCGCTTTATTTCGGCAAAGAGATATAAGAGTGAGGACTGAGGAGAAGAGCCGGCGAAAGAAATCGAAGGGAAAGACGAAGGCCGGAGGGGATCGTTACGCGATAATTCTGTCCGCGTATAATGCGAGCGCCAAAATAAAAGGGAAGCGGCCTGGCGTCGCGCGGTATCGCGCGAGAGACGCGCCAGGAGAAAGCCCCGGGGAGGAAGAGAAGCCGCATATAAAAGAAACGCGTATATATTTCCGTCTCGCGAAAATTCGTGTCGCGGGAACCGGGAACGCGACCAACGCGACGAGCCAATCGGCGTCGCGCCCCAAGCCGTTAGCCCGTGGTATCGTTAATCACGCCGAGTTACGAGTGCGTGCCCGCTGTGTTTCGGCGTGCACCGGGTGGTTTACGTCGCTCGGCTGAGATAAGGACGAACTGGGGGAAGATTTGTGCGCCGCGCGCGACGGCCGGATAAAATTTCAGCCGTCACTCAGCCATTCATTCGAGATGCCGTCGTTCGCGATTCATTTCGAATCGAGACGTCTACCTTGCTCTCGTCCATAAAGTTGTATTTATATACATAGTAGAGATTTTAATAAATTATTACGATCGCGATTTTGCCGACTACGTCGCGGAGACATAGATCTCACGAGTTTATCCTTCCCAAGTAGTTAATGTCGTCATTGAATGTTGTCCCGAAGTCGAGTATCTATATACAAGTTCGGGTGGCGGCAATAAGAGTGGCCGTTAAATGTCGCGTTTGTTTGTTATTCCGAACGTTAAAAATTAGGCGGCCCGTGCGGGGGAGGGATTTAATTCTCGCTGGTCCACAAATATTATGAGAACAGTGAATCGCGGACGCGTAATATGGGAGAGCGATGTCCTTCGGAGTGGCACTTGAGTAACGACGGCGTGAGTGGATTGCGTCGCGGGCTCGTCGCACCCCGACCTCGTGTAAATTATAGGAAAAATCCTCCTCCGAGAGAGAGAGACGGTAGTCTGTTTAATTAACCGGGGGCCACCGGCCGACCCGCTGTAAACACGTACCTACCACCCCACGGAGAAAGTGCCGACGGAGATAATCCTCGAGCGTCTCTTTCTCTCTCCAAGCAACGTGCGCTCGTGTAGCGCAAGCTTGCAGCATCCCTTCGGTGTTAGATGACGACTTGAATGCGAGATATCTACGCACTAAAAAATAAAGCACAATATCCGACCCACAGCACCCTTAATCGTCGGCACCAAATAATTCCCTTATTCTTAATTTTCCGCCCCCCTCCTGCGCGCGTTTCCCTCCTCCTACATATGTTTCGAATATCACGCACGCGACATTTTCGTTCCACGTGACGAAACGAAGGAGGATGAGTAAGGGTAAAAGTATTTAGAATACGGTTCGAGCGTAGATTCGGTTGTAAATAAATTTTATATGAAAGAGGAATATCTTTTTTATAACCAAATAAATGTATTATAAAAATTATATCATGCACGTGAGATACTTCCCTATGCTTTATTTAAATAAATAAAATATATAGAATAGAATGTGCAGAAGGAAGGAAAGAGAGAGAGGCACACTAAGTCGTTTTGCATGGATAGCGATATTTGCTTGCAAACTCGATCGGATCAAATCAAAACGGCGTGTTTTGAAGCGAGAGAAAATGAACACTTCTCGGGCATTCCCTTCAAAGTCTTCGCACCTACAACGTTTAAGTCCTCACTGCGCAGATTCACACTCCAAGATGTCAATACGCGTGAGTCCCCACATGTCACCCTGAGCGGTACAATCATCGAAATTACCTGTGTCGCACTTGTTTTCGGTCCTGAGTACGTGGTACAGGAAGTCGATGTATCTGGCGGCGAGCTTGAGCGTCTGGATCTTGCTGAGCTTGTCGCTCGGCAAGGTCGGTATGATCTTCCTGAGCGCGGCAAACGCGTCGTTCAAGCTCTGCGTCCGCTGGCGTTCGCGAACGTTTGCCATCGCTCTCTGATTCTGAAGCTCCAGGTCGTTCTTGCGGCGCACCTTTGTCCTCGTCGTCGAGGCCGCCGTCGTGCTCTCGCCGTCGGACTCGGTGCTGTTGCAGCAGCCGTTGCTGCCGCTGCTGGTGCTGTTGTTGTTGCCGCTGTGCCGCCTCTTCCTTCTGCCCGTCCTGATGCCGCCCTCCTTGTTCCCGTAGCCCTTCGCCGTCGTCGACGACGACGGCTCGGTCACGTGGCCGAGCTCGGCGGCCTGTTCACAGCCGTATCTCGCGACGTGATCGACCAGCCCGTCCTCGATCACGTCCGGTTTGTATTCTGCCACGTCGACATGATGATAGGCCCCCGTCTGGCCCTGGACCGACTGGACGGAGTTGGGGGCACCCATCTCGTCGACGCCACTGGGAGAGTACACGCTCTGCGAGGACGGCGTCAGGCACAGGCTCTGCTGCTCGTGGTCCCTACTGTAATCCGACAGGAACTCGGGCGAGTTGTCCGTCGAGTGGAGCGACCGGTCGTACTCTAGTTGAAAGTCCCGCATGATCTTTGAATCCGGTTGATGATCCTGAGGATGAGGGGGATGAGGATGATACCGCGTCTCCTCCGGATTCTTGAACATCATGTGACCCAACTCGTTGTAATGTACAACCTGGTTATGCAGATGATGATAACCGGACTGTAGATTATGATGCTGCGACTGCTGTTGCTGATGTTGGTGATGATCCGGCGGACTGCTCAGGTCCATTAGATGCGAGTGATGAGACGTGGGCGGCGTGAACCGATCGTAACGCGTCACCGACAAACTGCCGTCGGGATTGCCGTCGCCGCGGTGTACGGCCATCGCGGTGCCGATGACACCGGTGCCGTCGTTGCCACCCTGGATGCCATTGCCGTGCAGGATGTAGTTATAGCCCGTCTGCGGTGTCACGCACTGGGATGCCGGCGTCGGCGCCGGTGTCGGTACCGGTACCGTCGCCGCGCCGCGCATACCTCCGCCCGCGTACGTCTCCTTAACACATCGGGCGCCGTCGAGGGTCCGCGCGCAAACTGAAGACAGGAGATACTTAATCTGCTCCGCCTGCTGCCAGGTGTAGAGCACGGAGTCACCACTATTATGAACACCCATCCACTATCAAGTTAACGCCAATACGCGGGAGCCACGTATCGGCCACGATACGCACGTATTTACGCGCCGCGAGTGACGTGCGAACGATCGATCGCTCGATTGTCGATCGATTCTGTCAGACGCGCGGGACCGCGAGAACCGAAATCACCGCGAACGAGACCGGCCGCGCGAAAGCCGAGACAAATCTCGCCGAGAAGAAGAGAATCCCCAAATGTCGAGCGTCCCTCATACGCTACATCAGCACAGCCGCTGTAACACAGCATCTCTCTCTCCCATCCCCTCTTCCATCTTTTCTTACTCTTTCTCTCTCTCTCTCTCTCTCTTTCGCTCTTTCTCTCTTCCTCTCTCATCCTCTCCAAATGTTACTACCCGCCAGCTGAAGAAGAGAGCCTCCGCGGCGCGATCGCTCATCGTGTCACGCCGCAGGAACCCCGCCTTCGGCGGCGAGTATGACTGGTCCCCGACTATCACTTTGTCTCCACCCACGGAGAAGAGGAGGACGGAGCCGAGAAAATAGATAGGTCAGGTGGTGGAAAGGAAGGGATACGAGGGGATGAAACGGAAGACTTCCATGCGCGCCGTGGGATCCGCACAAGAACGAAGCGATGCTGATGATTGATTGTAAGTAGCAATTTTGTGGAAACATATAAGTACATTTTTCTAGGAATGCAAATGAGATACACAGAAAAAATATAGTAAAAAAATTAATGTAAAAAACGAAACGATATACGTAAATAATTGAGAAGAAAATGTAGACGAGAAGAAAGTGCGGTCTTTTTAAGAATAAATACGCCGCGGGTTGCAGTGTATTTATTCTTATTGTTTTAATAGGAAAAAATGTATACGTTGAATCTCTCGGATCTTATCACTAGATTTACCCAACAGATATCATGGTAAATATAATTTCTGTATAAATGTCTTACAAAAAATAATTTTACAAAATTACTTTTAATTGCTTTTCCATTTTCTGCAATCACATGCATTTATTTGCATAAAATTTTTTAATACAAACGGTAAATTTTTAAATTTTTTATTTGCATAGTTATTTCTAATGCAAACGGTGCATTATGATTCTTAATAAGAAGGCAAATATGCTGTATGCAATGAGCTTTGTAAAAATATGTTTATAAATATCATTGAAAAGTGAATATCTAACAATGATAAAGCATAATCATAAAAGTGATATATTTCCTCGGCCAAAAATAATCGCGACACGAAACGCTACGTCGCGAGCGTGATGTATCGACATTTTTCGAGCTCCTGCAACTCGGAAGCCGAGGCGAGAATGAAAAATCGGCGATCAGAGTTACGACGCGGCCAAAAATAAGCGGAACCCTCGCACCGTGCAGCATAAAAAGTACATTCTTGAGTAAGGGAGCAGAGAGCGAAGGAAGAGCCGAGAGCAGTGCGGCTTTTTTTAAATATTTCTTCCGACGCGGTGAGAATCGCGAAGATTCGCTCCGGAGAGACGTTTCCGCACTTCGGCAAAATTTCGATTCCGAACGGCTGCCCATTGGGCCCACCGCGAGCTCAAATCCGCGGTGGACCCGTCGCGTCGCACTCGGGCTGACGTTCTCTTCTCGCGGGCTGAAATTAATACCGACGGCATCGCGATGCGAATTAAATGCGGCTCGCTCGCTCGGAGGCGCGCGTGATAGATGGCCGCGTTGGATGCGCCACGACGTGTTTGTTGTGACGGACGAAAGCTCTTTAGAGGGTGTCTATAAATTCTGACGTTTCTCCAACTTTCTCGCGAGCCTCCCCTGCTGCCTCACTCCCCCTCGCCGCCGCCGCCGCGCCCGTGATTTAGCATTTCGTTCGACGTCGCGCCACGCCTACGGAATATTTAGTCGCGAGGGTGACTTCGGGAGAGAAAACGGGGTCACGTCTTTGTTCGCCAGGTCCTTTGGTCTCGATCGATTCGCTCGATCGAAATCCATTTTAAGACGATCCGCGAAATGTCCAAAATATCTTAATTACGTGTGTATAATTATGTTCTCGTACATAACTTACAGCGCAAATTTATGATTAATTAAGATTTTCTTTTCTGCGTATGTAATTGTATGTAATAATAATAATAATAATAACAATGTAATGCACTTATAATTAGATACAGAAAAGATTATGAATAGAATTTTGTCCGGAATTCTGTTTCTCGAATTGCACAAGAAAAAATCACGTAAGAAAAGACTTACATTTTAAATATTTTCACTTGTCAAGCTCTTAAGAAATTAATTTTTACTCTTTCATTTTATAATTTATGCGTTTATCTATATAAATGCTTAAAAGATCGTGTGGAAAACAAAGTTTTGACAGTCGGTGAAGCCAGCAGATTTGTTTCCCCGAACTAATGGCGAGCTTTGAACGACTCAATCGTCGTATCGTGACGGTATTAGCGGATGGATATTCCGTCGCTCGTCGGATCCCGCTTCTCGGAACCGCAGCACAACCGGCGGAAAGCCGTAAGCTGCCGTTTTGGCGACGGTCCAACCGCGAATCAGATCGCCAATAGACGGGTCGATAAATAACGCGGCCAAATACCAAAATAATACCTGACGGCGATCAAAAAGCGAAAATTCGCGGAGGCTTTCCGGCGCGCGAGAGCGTTACACTTTCCACATAATCTCCAAAATTTCCCCACTGTTCTTCCTGTCGAAATTTTAAATCTCCCTAATTACACGGTATCCTGCCGTTTTTAACACGATTTTTACTTTAACTCCGACCGTCGCACTCTCCTATGCACTTGACCGCTCGTCGCAGGGAAATCCTCTCTCGACCTTCGCCGATCCTCTTCGCGGCCACGTTCCGCGCGCACGTGCGGCGCGATACCGCCGGGCACGCACCGTTTGACGATATTAACGCGGTCTTAATTGCGCGTGCCGGCGCGCAACTTTAATCGCCGGCAGCGGCGCGCCTGTGTAACATTGCACCCCCGCGTGGCCGCGATGTACGTCGTTGCAGGTTCAAGCGTCCCTGTCGACGCTCCCTTCCACTGGTAACATCTAAAAGACAAAGTGTCCGCGCGGATGCGCTGATGATGATTCGGAAGCTTTAAAGTAGTATACCATCCCTGGGAGGAGATATGCTTTATCAACTGCAGCGATCCCACCAGAGGAGCCTCGCTCATCCACCGAATCTCCGCAATTCGGCCTTGAGCTCCACAATTCACCTATTTCGACCAAATGGTGCGCGCCACGTAACTCGTGTCATACGTCCCACATGTGTGGGAACATGTGCTTCACCGGCACGTATATACCTATTCGTGACTCACATAAATCTAGATTCACCAGCCGAGAGTCGCGAACACGTGGAACACACCTTAACGCCGGCCACCGCACGGAATCACCTGCAAATAACGAGTTGACGATTGAAATTGACGAGCACTCGCAAACACTCGTGATAATAGCAACACGAGTTTAGCGAAAATAAAGTTCTTGTTCTTAACAACCTGCTGGACTTTCCGGTGAAATATTTTATCACTGACAATGAAGATCAAGAAGTAAACGCGAGAGTGAGCGAAATGCGATTTTCGCGGAAATAAAATTCTTCTCGTTCGTAATTTAATGCAATAAATAAAAGTTCAATGTAAGACAGCGACAATAGAGGAAGATCCGTTTCGATAGAAACCGTTTGCTGCTTTGAATTTATCGCACAAAGCAGCAAGAAACTGTCGAGTTTTCGGCCCAGCGATATTCCGAAGGACGTTGATCTTACAATAAATTTTTTATTTCTTTACATATGAGTTTTGACAATATTTTTATAAACCATCTGGTGAAATAAATCAATTACAATAAGTAGCCGTGACAAATATTTTTCTGCAACGTACTTCCTTTTGTTGACCACGTATCCAAACTGCTGTTCAACATATGTTGAAATAGAAAGTCTTTGAAATTATCGGCCTTGTCAAAAATGTAGAAGGTATACCTATACCAGCACGACTCGAAGGAAACATTTATAACGCGCTACTGACTCTCTAATCCTAACCGTGCAGAGCGTGAACGATAATAATGTTAATGATAATGTGGTCGCCAGTTGGACATCGTGCAGATGTTTGCGAGGAGAATAATGCGTTTCCATTCCCCGTTCCCGCAAATTATGCGAGTAACCTATTCCATCTTGGAAGCATGGCTGTATACTAGCGACGCGTTAATATTAGTGATATTATTATAACATTAATTATGGAAATCATTTCGAAAAGACTTAGAGAGGAAGAAACTAAAAAAAATCGTGATGAGATGCGATATTTTTATTAACAGGATGATTTATCAGTAATATTTGCCATTCAAAAGTATAGCGATCCAGAAAGAAATGGCGACCTACTGCAGCCATTGTACCGGTAGGCGAGAGCATATACGGATTCTCGAATAGCAACAGGTGCCTTTTGTACAATTTATCCAGTCATGGCGACTCTCGGGACTGCCTCCTCGTATACTATAGATTCACCTGCAGTCGAGAGTCGCAAACACGTGGAACACTTTACACTGGTTATCGGAATTATCATTTGCGCATGGCGAGTTGATGAGCACTCGGAAGTAGTGAAGCACTCGTGTTAATATTACGTGTATTCTTTGCGTAGGAAGGGAACTGTCAACTCGTTTCAAGATCGGTATCACCTTCAAACCGTAACGAAGGTATTCCTTCAAACGGATTACAGATTCTACACAAATAATAATATCGTATTGTTTTTATGAATTCTGTTAGTTGTCTCGAGAATATAAAATAACATAAAATAATTTTTCCTCCGTATTTTCGTGGAAATTTATAAAATAGCACCTATATATTATCAAGCAGAAAGAAGGAAAAAGGCCAAGTAATTCGAAATCTCTTTCGAGGAGAGAGTCTCTTTAAAGATTTAATTTCGTGCCCATCTACTTGTCAAAAACGGACACTATAAAATGAATTTAAATTTGTCACGGT